AGTCTACAAGCAATAAATGCTGGAGAGGGTGTGGAGAAAAGGGAACCCTCTTACACTGCTGGTGGGAATGCAAACTAGTACAGCCACTATGGAGAACAGTGTGGAGATTTCTTAAAAAACTGGAAATAGAACTGCCATATGACCCAGCAATCCCACTCCTGGGCATACACACTGAGGAAACCAGATCTGAAAGAGACATGTATACCCCAATGTTCATTGCAGCACTGTTTATAACAGCCAGGACATGGAAGCAACCTATATGCCCATCAGCAGACGAATGGATAAGGAAGCTGTGGTACATATAAACTATGGAATATTACTCAGCCATTAAAAAGAATTCATTTGAGTCAGTTCTAATGAGATAGATGAAACTGGAGCCCATTATACAGAGTGAAGTAAGCCAGAAAGATAAAGACCAATACAGTATACTAACACATATATATGGAATTTAGAAAGATGGTAACGATAACCCTATATGCAAAACAGAAAAAGAGACACAGATGTACAGAACAGACTTTTAGACTCTGGGAGAAGGTGAGGATGGGATGTTCTGAGAGAATAGCATTGAAACAAGTATACTATCAAGGATGAAACAGATCACCAGCCCAGGTTGGATGCATGAGACAAGTGTTCAGGGCTGGTGCACTGGGAAGACCCAGAGGGATGGGTTGGGGAGGGAGGTGGGAGGGGGGATCGGGAAGGGAAACACATGTAAATCCATGGCTGATTCATGTCAATATATGGCAAAAACCACTACAATATTGTAAAGTAGTTAGCCTCCAACTAATAAAAATGAATGGGGAAAAAAATAAATTAAAAAAAAGTAACAAGATTTTAAAAAAAATTACAAGTGGAACAAAATTAAAATGGAGTCAAGATGAGGAGACAAAAGGGTGAAGTATGGAGGCAATCTTTTTTTTTTAAGAAGGATTAGCATGAGTGACAGGAACCGGGGGCGCTTTAGGAGCTTAACTTGGTCAGAGTTCCAGTGCTAACGTCAATCCATTTTTTATCTACTATTAAAGATTTTTAAGTCAGCTATTACATAGTCACAGAATTAAAAGAAATCACACATAAAGAGCTTTTTTAAAAGAATGAGAATGAGTTTTCACAAAATCTAGAGTATCAACAAAGAGATTATTTTCAAAAGAATGAAGTTCAAAGTCTGAAGTTGAAAATTACAATAACTGAAATAACAAATTCACTAGAGGGGCTTAACAGCAGATTTAACAGGTAGAGGAAAGAATCAGCACACTTGATGATGAGTCAACTGAGATAATGCAATCTGAAGAACAGAAAGAAGAAAAAACAAAAATGAAGAAAACCTCAGAGATTTGTGTGACACCATCAAGTGTCCTGACATAAGCATAATGGGAGTCCCAGAAGGAGAGGAGGGGAAGAAAAGGACAAAAATATATTTGAAGAAATGATAGATTAAAACTTCCAAATTTTGATGAAAAGAATTGACTTACATATCCAAGAGGATACGTATGTATGTATGTATGTAAGTATGATTACCACAAAGAGACCCATAACTGGGCATACTAGATAGAGTCAAACTTTAGAAAACCAAAGATAGAACCTTTAAAGCAGAAAGAGAAACACAGCTCTTCACATCCAAGGAATCATCAGTAAAATTAGTAATTGACTTTCCTCAGAAACTATGGAGGCCAGAAGGAAGTAGGATAATATATTCAAAGTACTAAAAGGAAAATCCTGTCAACCAAAAATTCTATATCCAGCAAAGCTGTCCGTCAAAAATGAGGAAGAAATTCAACCATTACAAGGAAACAAAAACTGAAAGAGTTTGTGGCTAGCAGACCTGCCCACAATACATGCTAAGGGGAGTCCTTCAGCCTGAAATAAAAGGGCACTAGTGTGTGTGTTAGTCCCTCAGTCATGTCCAACTCTTTGCGACCCCATGGACTGTAGCCTGCCAGGCTCCTCTTTCCATAGAATTTTCCAGGCAAAAATACAGGAGCAGGTAGCCATTCTTTCCTCCAGAGGATCTTCCCAACTCAGGGATCAAACCTGTGTCTCCTGCATGCAGGTAGATTCTTTACCGTCTGAGCCACCAGGGAAGGTAGACAGTAGCTCAAATCCACATTGAGAAATAAAGAACACTGGTAAACATACTATGCAGATAAATACAAAAGACAGTATAAATGTATTTCTTGTTTGTAACTCTTCTCCTAATTGATTTTCAAATAAACTGCATGAAAAAGTAATTAATTATAAAACTGAGTTGATGAGCTTATACTACAAGAAGGATACAAATAATATTTGTGTGAAACTATCACAAAAGAGGGAGGAGGGAATGAGGTTACAATGGAGCAAAGCTTTGTATGCTATTGAAATTAAGTTGGTATTACTCCAAATTAGATTATTTTAGGTATGGATGTTAATTACAATGCCCAGGGCACCCACTAAGAGAATAAATTTTAGTTTTTAAATTCTAAACAAACAAAAATATCTACAATCAAAAGAAACAAGGCAGAGCTGAGGATTTTAGTGGCTTAGATTAAGGATAGTCATTTTAAGACAGTGTCAGTCTAAAATTAAGGATTCAAATTCCTAGAGCATAGAGTCTCTCTGTTCTAGTGTGGGTCATGCCCACTATTATGGTCAAAAGAGGGGTTCCTAGCCTGGCAGATCTTTAGAATTGCATGGGAAGCTTTTTCCCAAATAAGTGGGTTTGGGCAAAAATAAATAAGTGATGACCACTAAATGGGTTAACATTTTGTTAACCAGAATTTTAATGAATCAAAATGGTCTATTTAATGTGACTGCCAGATAATAATACATAGAAATTTATATTATACTATAAACAGAAGTATATTTGTGAATAGGACAATTTGGATTAATAGTGACTGAGTATGGGATAAGGATAAGAGAGTAGGATGGTATGTCAAATTTTTTAAATACTGAAATAGAAGATTGATTTCCCTAAGAAGTTTGAAACTGTAAAGTCTATTTTAGTTTTCCAAGTGCTATGTTGACTTGTGAAATTAAGGCATGTGATATTAACTTGCCACAAACTGGAATAAGTTGCAGTTGGTTTTTAAATTCTAAGCAAATAAAAAGTAAATAAAAAATTGGGAGAAGTATTTGCAAAACACATGACATGTTAACCTGTGACATACATATATAGTTACTATCTATGTCTACTGCCATACCACCCTGAACGCTCCCAATCTTGTCTAATCTCAGAAGCTAAGCAGGGTAACATACAGGAAATTCTTACACTTTGAAAAGAAAAAGACCCATAACTCAAACAGTAAAATGAACTAAGTATATGAATAAACAATTCATAGAACAGAATATCCAAAAAGGGAAATGGAAAAGGAGCAGCTTCACTAGTAGACAGTGAAATAAAAATTTAAAGAACAACAAATTATCACTATCCACTTGGCAGAATGGCTAAAAATAAGCAAAGTAAATTGTTACAGGCTTTTAGAAGGCAATCTATTAATATTTTAAATAGACCAATCTCATACCTGGAAATCAGTCCCTCAGAAATTAAATTACCAGGGCATTTGGATATACATAAAGGATGTTTATTGAAACCCTGGTGCTAGTGGCAATTTTTTTTTAAAAGAATTTGAATGTGATAAATAGGGAAACGAGTTAATTTGGGTACATCCATACTGTGGAACATTATGCAGCCTCTAAAATAAAAGAATGAATCAGCGCAATACCAGTTAAACTGGAAGATTTTTATGACATTGTTTAATGAGGAAAGCAAGAAGCAGAGAAAGGTTTACACTATGATTCCTCACTTTGTAAAATATACATATATATGGTTATATTAGCATGCTTAACTTTTTTAAATAGTTGAGAGGGGAAATAGTGAGGGAAGAGTCAGGTAAGAAAAGAGAAGACTAAAAAAGGGGGTATCCTAAACATAACATACATGAGATGATTCCATTTGTAGATAAATGATGGATGAACATGTGCATAAATATATACATGAAAATATGATCATCAAAACATTAACAGTGGTTATTTCAGTGTGTTGGGGGTTTATTTCCTTCCTTATACTTTAATGTATTTGAATTTTTACAATAAGCAAAGTTTATATACAACCAAAGAATGGTTATTTTAAAACGCATGTTGCCAATTGCCATGGGACAGAGGTTGAGTCAGAAACATCTTCTGCCTTGCAGGCTATGACAGTGGGGAGCGAAGAGGACACAGCCAGCTGTAACATACCGACCAACTTAGTAAGTGTTGTAACAGAAGCACAGAGTGTTGGGAAAGAGCAGTTAATTGATCTCTCAGATCTGACTGGGAATTTCTGGAAGAACACTGTTAAAGGAGAAGGCATCTCAATTGGCTCTTGAAGGTTTGGGAACAATTCAACAGGTAAAGATGGGGATGAAGAGAAATCCAGAATAAGAGAACAGAGTGAGCAAATCACACATGGGGCATTAAACACCCAGGATATATTCAAAGAACGGCAATTAGCCCAACACAGTATAACTGGAACACAGGTGTTGAGCAGACAGAAGGTTAGAATGCTAAGCTGGTTTCCAACTGTGAAAGTAGTTTAGACTGTATTCCACTTGTAGAGAGGGCTTACTGTTGGGCGGGGGATGAGGCGGGCCGCGGAGGTTTGTTTCTTTTTTCAAGAAAGCATTCTCAGTTCTGTTTTGGGAGTGGGGGGAGGCAGGAGACAGAACACCAGTTAGGAACTTAAAATGATTCGGGCCAAGGTAATCAAGTTTAACAAGAGCAGCAATATGGGAATGAAGAGAAAGGAGAAAGATTCCACGAACATTTTTGAGGTAAATAGGGCAGGCCTTGGTAGAAGATGTTAAATCTCCTGTGCCTGGCAGCTGAGGGCTTGGGGATACACCAATTTGAGAAAGAGAACACTGGAACTGAAAGTGGGAACCACGCTGGGAGAAAAATTCCACTATTTTGCAGAATATACAGGGGCTGTATATAAAAGAAAGGAGAAATTCTGAGGTAAAATAAAATTATCCAATTGGTCCCTCTCACTTTCTGTATGTTCCACAGGAAAAGGGTCTGGTTGTAGAGAATGAGAGATCTGGGGAAAGTCCAGGGTAAAATCTCGGACGTAATTCCTGCTCTTGGGAACTGGAGCCCGAGCGTCTTTCTTCCCGCTCCGCCGCCGAGACCCCACGGGCAGCCCCGTTCGGGAGAAGGAGGAGCGGGGTTCGGGTCCGCACGGCCGGGAACCTTTCACACCCTACCCGCCCTCTGGGCCGAGCGCGGGGTCCGGCGCAGCGCGCGGGGCGGTGCCAGGGGAGGGGCGGGAGGCGCGGCCCCGCTGGAGCCAGGCCGGGTGGCCCCTGAGGCACCCGACGTCCCGCGCCCACAGTAGAGCCGGGCGCCGCCGTCCCGCCGCCTCCGCGCCCGCCTCCCAGCTCCCAGCGCTGTGATGGGCGCGGCGCCCTGCGGTACTGCTCCCGCCCCTCCCCGTCCCTTCCGGCCCCGCGAACCCGCGAGAGGCCGGGGCACCGCCGGCTTTCTGCCGCCAGCCGCGGGCCTGGCGCTCCTCGGCGGTCCGGGACCTGGTGAGGTGAGCAGCGCGCCCTGGAGGATCCCATAGTCGGGAGTTTGTAGGAGCGCTCTGTGGGCAAGATATGTCCACAGAACGTCAAACACTTAAATTCTGAAGTAAAAAGTGGAAAGGGGGGAAGGGCGTTCTCTCCTTTGCAGAATCTGGGTCGCTTCTTTGGAAACGGTGAAGAAACTATCTTAGAAACTGGAGGCGACCCCGGGGTCACTGACCAGGGATGCCGGTGGCAGTTTCCTGAGGAGAGCAGCGTACTGGTATTTGTCGGGAAGAGGGGCTGCGGCTGTTCTGTTTTGTTAAACAGGCCATAGCCTCCTGAAACGGAGGGATCCGGGAACAGCATTGTAGACCGCCCCCCCCCCCCCCGCCCCAGGCTCCTTACGGAGCTTGTCCCCAAACCTGCCTGTCGGGGGGCACATGCACCCTAAGGATGGCAGGTGGCGGGTAGGGTGGACTCCCTTACAAGAGTTGTGAAGTCCCGAATACAGAACGTTTTATTGCTCTGCTTTCTGTCGAACTGCCTTGTTCTGGGCAGAGTCGCCCGGGAGCTGCAGCATCCTTGTAACTCTATCTGAAACTAGAGGCCACTTGTTAGATTGGTATTTGAATGGTGGATATCTTGGTGTACTTGCGGTGCTGCGGAATATGAACTTTGAAGTTTTTCTTTAAAATTGAGTTTTGTTGTTTTCATTTTAGAATAGGAATATGTGGGGAGAGACGTCATGGCATGCTCTAACTCTTCCCTTTGTTGGTTTCCTAGGTACGTGGGTGCATGAATAATAGACAAATTATGTCCTAGCCTATAATGAAACATCTTTCCTGGTGTAGTCCTTTAACCAGGATATGGAGGGTAATATCAAATTATTCCATCCCTACATGAAAGTGTGGATTAAAAGCTGGAAAATTTGTGATGTAATTGTATGAGGCAGCGAGGCCTGCAAAGGAAAACTTATTTTTCTCTACCAATGGCTAAATGCAGCATAGAAGGCCTCCCTGCAGGCTGGGTAGCAGCCAGGCTTGCAGAACAGTAAGTAGCTTCTTCCTTTGCTGCAGCTGGAGCTAATGGATATGGAGATAAATGGCTGAGGATGTGGTAGTATACAGTGCAAGGCAGTTTGAGTCTGGAGAATAAAATGCCTTGGGAGGTTTTGCTTGAGTTAGAGATCTCTTAGGAAGCAAGTGGTTCTCTGGTCCCAAATTTGCCAACCTAATTCCTCTTCAGGGCCATCACTGTCTCTAGAGTGCTCCCTGTATTTCCTCTTCTCTCACTCCAGCTTTTAGCTTCTCCCTGTTCCCCAGTAAAGTCTAGGGTTGAGCCTGGCGGACAAAGACTTATGGTGGCCTCGGGATAGAGAACTTCCAAGTCTAGTGAAAGTAGAATTGTGGCCCAGGGGAGACTTGGGATGGGTAGGGTGAAGCAACTTCCAGCCTAGACTTCCAGCCTAAAAGACTCTCAAAAGAGTGGCAGAGTGATAAAGACAGAAGGAAAGAGATTTCCTCAGCTGGACAGTAGGTACTTAACAGTTTGTTTCCTGCTCAGAGTTTTAATATTTCCTTTTTGTTGTTTGACCAAAAAGGCATTTCCAGATGGAGTTGGGGGAGTGTAGAATTTCTCTGAAAAGTCCCTCCTTCTTCCAAATTTGCATTTCTTTCTACTCCCTTGTAGGTTTTTAGAGAGTAAGTGGGGGCAGGGGGATAGAGAAGAAAGAAGCAGTGAGGCTCTGCCTTCCCACAGAGACAATGAACCACGGACTGACTTGGGCCCAGAAGTTGGATTTGAAAGTTGAAAAGAATGTTCCACGTTTCTTTAAAAATCAGAGCCTTTATTTTGTAGAAAGGCATTGAGAACCATAATATTCTCATTTACTGATGAGTTCTGCTTGATAAGGGATTCAAGTCTCTACTTCTCTTTTTTTTCCCTTCCAACATTTTATTGTGAAAAACTTCAGACATACAGAACTTAAATTGAAAAGTGGTCAAGAAATAGATGTGTGAAGGATATTAACATTTTGAGTGAGGGAGGAAAGGATCTTATTCTTCTGACTTTTCCCTAAGAATCCTAGGCATATCTCTTCATTGCTTCCTTTTTCCCATTCTTAAAACATGTGTGTGCTTAGTTGCTCAGTTGTGCCTGACTCTTTGCGACCCCATGGATTGTAGCCTGCCAGGCTCCTCTGTCCATGGGATTCTCCAGGCAAGAATACTGGAGTGGGTTCCCATGCTCTCCTCCAGGGGACCTTCCTGACCCAGGGATTGAACTCAGGTCTTGCTTGTTGCAGGCAGATTTTTTACCATCTGAACCACCAGGGAAGCATAAGTTGGATGATATCACTCCCCTGCTTAACACTCTCCAGTGAAATAAGACCCCTCACACTTGGAATAAAATCCAGCTCTCTACTGGTACTTATCAAAGCTCTATGTGATCTGGCCCTCTTTGACCTCATATCTTTCCCCTCACTTTACTGTCTTCCTTGCTCTTTTCTGCTTGAACACTCTTCCCTCAAATATTTAAACTGCTTCTTTCCTCCGTTCATTCAGGGCTCTTTTCAAATATGACCTCCTCCATCAGGTCTTCCTTGACCACCTAATCCAAAAGCATGCTTTGTCACTCCCTGTCCTCTGGCCCTACTTTAGTTTTCTTCACTACATTTACCATTACCTGGCATTGAATAGTATATCTCTTTCTTTATTAATCATCTCTATATTCCACCCCTCAAATGTAAGCTTCATAAGGACAAGAAATTTTTTGTCTTATTCACAGCATATTGTAAGCAATTAATAAATAATTGCTGAATTAATTAGATAATTAAATGACACAGATAAGACATTGCCTCCCATAAGGGTGGCATAGCCCTTGGTAAAATACTAGAAGTCCTTGTAAGTGATTCAGGTTAATCAATATTTTATAGGTAAATGATGATCCTGGAGATCAGTAGCCACTCTTATCCCCACAGTGCTTTGAAGTTGAATCCTATGTTAGAAGCTGGGCTAGTTTTAAAAAACCCTCATCCCAAACAAGATATAAAAAATTTCAATCCTAGAAATTTCCCTCATGCCCCTTTCTAGTTACCTGCCGCCCACCCCCAGAAGCAACCTTTGTTATGATTTCCTTTATCATAGTTTTGCTGGTTCCTGGACATCATATAAATGCATTCACACAGTATGTACTTGTATGTCTGCCTTTTTTCTCAGCATAGTGTCTTGAGATGCATCCTTGTGGTTGTATATTAGTTGTTCATTTCTTTTTAATTCCAAGATGGTATTCAACTGTATGAATATCTACTTTTTATTTACCCATTCTCTTATTCATGGATACTTGGGTTGTTTCCAGGTTGGGGCTATTTTGAACAAAGCTGCCATGAACATTTTATAGTCTACCTCATTTTAAGTCCTATGTACTTTATGTGAAAATCTTCATGCCACCAGTGCTGAGAGAAATATGGCAAGATTATGGTGGCTATGACCAACATGGCAGCCTGCCTATACCCCAGCAAGTGCCTTCTCCAGACAGCCCCACTGGGTGCTGATCTCTTTCCCACTGCAGAGGGAGAGCACTTGAAAAATGAGTGTCCAGGGGAGCCCTCAAGCATACTTTCAGTGTTTCTCAGCCCCTAAAAGATACTGTAGAATGCTGCCGCCCATTGCTTTTGTATTCCTCTCCTCCTCTCAGCTCCCCATCCCAGTACAAATTGACTCTAATCAGCCACCGAGCATTCTGCTCTCAAGAGGTTTAAATATTTAAGAGTAAGAGTCTTGTTCAGAGCCTGATAAAATATTTATGTGTTTCCATAGGGCATTGGTTTTCATCCAGGCTTCTCAAGGTGTTTTTCGGAGACACTTGTCATAATCATGAGCTACTCAGACAGAGATAGATGATACAGCCAGAGAAATAATACTGAACCCACCTTGCAGAGTGCCTTTTTTTCTAGGGATGGGGGAGAATGAGCATACAGAAGAATGGGCATTAATAGTATCTGGATCAGGAGAAAGGCTGACAACAGTGACTTGGAAAAAGCAGAGTCTGTTAATGGAATACCCCTGAGGGTGTGAGTCCAGAGGGGATGGTGGAAAAGAGCTTATCAGCATGAGAAGGGATTATTTAAGATGGAATGCATTCATCCCAATAGAAGAATAAAGGAAAAAGCCTTTAAAGGACACAGTTCCTTTGACACTGATGTAGACAAGGCCTGTATAAGATAGCTATGCCAAGTGCTATAATTAAGTTATCACTGCTATGAAAATATGGGAGGAATGGAGGCTAGCCAGTGTTTCCAGGTTGGGGGAGAGAACTAGCTATCTCAGGAAAATTGTTATTTTCTTCTACCAGGAAAAAGTGCTTTTTGAATCAAGTTCTGAAGGAGTTATGGCTCTCTGACTGGCAGCTGTGGTGTGGAAGGGCATTTCCAGACAGAGTAACTTGAGCAGACATTCAAGTCAGGGCTATAGTGCTGGTGTGGCCTGAGTAAGGTGAAGAGGGGGTGTCAGGGAGGATTAGGGCAGGTTTGCAGTAAGAGATAAAGCAGGAGAGCTAAAGGCCAACTTGTAAAGGACACAGGAGCATGGACTTTAGTCTGTTTGTTGTAGGGAATCATGTAACTTTTGATTAGGTCAGATTTTGAGCAATTCTTGTGTGGTGCCTCTAGCCCAAGCAAGGCCTTGAGGTCTGCTTATGTCCAAGACACTTCCAGAATATTCTGCTGTGGCCAATCCAGTCTAGAGCCTTTGTACAATCTACTCTAAAGGATGTGAACAGGAGGAGGTCAGATTCATTCAGTATACTCCTGGGACTAACTAGAAACAGGTCTCATCCATCATACAAATACTCCAAGTCAAACTGAATTCATAGGCTGTATGCTGCATCTTCTGATGGCAGCATACATCCTCTTTCGTGGCCACTTTGCCTCAGTGGGGGGTCATTGGGAGGGTCTAAGTACTTCTTTATCACCTGAACCTAAATCTGAGTCAGTATACTTCAGGCTGGGTTGCCACGCAACAGAGGACCAAGTGATGAGACAGGCAGACCAGAATTCAGACTTAAGAATTCAGACTTGCTTTGACCCAGCTACTGGGCAGTGACTGGAGAGGCAACTGGCAATAGAGGATTGAGGCCATACAGATTGACAACCCATAGATAGGACTGCTCGGCCACCTTCCACATGTGTTTTCCCTTCAGATTCCTATTCAAAAGTGCCTCAGGATGTTTATTTTAATGCATAATAAAAATAGGGAGGGAGGAAGGGGTGTGAAATCTCTCCATCCTCTCCACTTTATGATGTTTGTGATAAGGAAGAGATAAGTAGAAGTGATGGTCCTGGGGAAGTCAGTCCTCAGTGCAGCCGTGAG